GGGGGGGGCACGAGCAGCAACAGGGGTGGGAAGCCTTTTGCCAGGGTTGATTACACGAGCTCGACGGACGATGCCGCCGGCCGACGGTCAGACGCCGCGGCGGGCTGCAGAAAGTCGGAGGGAGCAGGGACCACGCCGCCCATGTGTCACGTCCAGGCCGGCCAAGCTGTCATCCTGATCCCTGCACCAGCACCACTCTGGCCGGCCGCCTGTTCTTGGGGCGCGTCTGTCCGTCGGCAAAGAGGAGGGGGATCCGACCTGGGGGTGCCACGACAGCATGTGCGGGCGTGGTGGTTGCCCGAGAGGATCCATGACGTGATGGGCGATGGGGCACGAGAAAAGTGGTTGGAACGGTGTTGGGTGTGTGGGTGTGTGTGTTTGCGGACGAGATAGGATGGCTGAGAGAGGTGAGAGAAAGAGAGAGCAGCTCTTAGACAGACAGACATGAGCAAACAAACAAACAAACGACAACTGCACAAAATCATGGAACGGCTTTCAGTGGTTGTCTCCAAGACGGGTAGCAGTGGGGACGGTGGGTATGCGGCTGAGGCGCACACCCAATCAGCGAGTCGTGCCTTGAGCGTGGGGCCTGAGAAGCTCGACTTGTCGCCGCGCATACTGTATGTAGCAAGTTGGCGCCGATCTGGGAAGCCACCATCCACACACCTATGGATTGCTCGGACTGCTCTGTGCGCTCCTTCTTTTTTTAGGTCCTCTCGACGAGAAGGAGCGCCTTTGCCACCCTGTGTGTGTGCCTGTCCAAGCCCCGAAGCTTGGGCGTCGTGACACTGGCCGTCTCCCATCGTACACTACGTCAATTGCGGGCGAATCAAATCTCCGCGCCTTGTTCCAGCGGAAAGCCCAGCCGACGCCAGCTCAGCCCGCCTCGAGCGCCCTGCTCATTTCAAAAGGGCTGTCGTATCAGGTCGCGCCCTTCGTTCAGGTCCAGGTCCAGGTTCAGGTCAAGGCCCGTCTCTTGCATCGGCGCTCGAGCGTCGTGTCGATCCATTCATCTCACCCGAGGGCGTCCTGCGGTGGTGCTATGTGCTGTTTATAGTCATCCTGGGGGTCGGCATCCCCTCTCCCTCCTTCCCGAAAATGTACATGTCGTGTCCTGCGGGCTTGCCCAGCCGGTTCGCCCCAGCCCGGCAGCTGGACGAGGGCAGGCCAAGCCAGCCGGACCCGCGTACTACAGCAGTAAGTGTGCTGCACCTGCACGCTTTGTCGCACACACAGCAGAGAGAGAGAGAGAGAGAGCGAGAGTGAGAGAAACAAGATTCAGCAACATGGAGCCAACAACAGTCCCGAGGGCACGACATCGACCCCCCTGGGCCCGAGTGGTTGGGAGCTTTTCCGGCCTCCACGTGGAGTCACCCCAGAGAAGCGATTTGCTGCTTCCATGTGCAGGTAGCCGTGTCCAGACGTGCGTCTTTTTCTTCTTCTGGTTTCTGGCTTCCGCCTCGACGCCATCACGCACTTTGTGGCTGGCTGGCTGGTAAGTAGCCCCCGAATATTGAATAGACGAACAACCCCCTCGGCTCTTGATCAGATGACAGCGGCGTGCCTGACATGTTGCCCCGATCCATGGCCAACCCCCGGGCGTCTCTCTCAGCCTTTGTGGCTCCGCCATCAGGCTCGTTCATGTCGTGGAACTCCGGGCTTTCGTTTTCGTGAGATGGGCCACCGACACTCTCACGGCCAGTCCGGGGCGGTATATCCAATATCTTCGGGCCCATCCATGGACGAGGCTGTCCTCCCGGGTTCTCGACGGCCGACCGGAAATTGAACAATCGGTCCTTTTCGAGTTCTATTCCCTTTCGTCTGGTGTCTGCCACTACAGTCCCGGCATCGAGTGTTGCAGCACAACAGTAATACCGAAAAGCCCAAAGGCCATTTCATTTATTGCCAGCCAAGCCAGGTCCACATCTAGACAAACGCCATCACACACAAAAGCCCGCCAAATTTATTGCTCGTGTTTGCATTTCGGGTTCGGTAATGCCCCAACAGCCATGGCTGCCTCAGCCGCGCAAATCACCACTCTTCGTGTCCGCCCACGCCTAGTCGTAGACCCCTCTGCCGTGTACGCTCTCCCTTGCCTCCTTGCCCGCCGGCCTGCCCTTGTCCCTGTCGTCGGACTTGACGAGGCCCTGGTCGGTGATGTGGTCCTGGTTCAGCGTGTAGCCCTTGATGGTGAGGCTCAGCACGAAGCAGATGGCGGCGAAGGCGAGCGACGTGACCCAGATGGCGCGCAGCGCCTCGTTGTAGGCCACGATCAGGTCGCGCTTGTTGTCCCCTTCGGGCATGATCTTGATGAACTCGACGATGACGGTGGCGTCGCGCGAGAAGCCGTCGGCCACGCCGGCATACACCGGCAGCGCCGCCAGCCGGCCCCGGAACGCGTTCTGGAAGATGGACCCGGACACGGCCACCCCGATGGCCTGCCCGAAGGTCTGCAGGAACGAGAAGAAGGCGGCGGCCTGCCAGTTCATCTCGGGCTCGCACGCCGCCTGGATCGAGAGGGCCATGGCGGGGAAGAGCCTGTTGGGAAAAGAGAGGGGTGTCAGCAGGGGGGAGAAGTTGGAAATAGGGTGTGAGGAGTGACTGTTGACTTGCATTCCTGTGCCGAGGCCGACTGGGATGTTGAGCCAGATCCACTGCGCCACCGAAGTGTCTGGAGAAAGGAGCCAGAGCAGGCCGCACCCCAGCGTAGTGAGAGCCCAGCCTATTGTTATTGACCAGCGGTAGTGACTGGGCGCGCATGACTTCTAGGTCAGCTTCTCGGGTACCGACAGAAAGTAGAAGCGGAAGAACAGAGGACTAACCCGGTCAAGGCGGCCACGATTCCAACAACCATGCCGGCGGGAGCAATCGTCAGTGTCTCGGGGAGAGCGGCGACGGCCGAGACGACGGGGGAGTACCGCAGTGGTTGGGCGTTAGCAAAATGTCTCTGTTTCTTGCCGGTAGAGGCATCTCATCAAGGAGGTGACGGCTACTCACAAGCTTGACGGCCTGGTAGTATAACACTGCCGTTGGCCATGGGTTGTCAGCAGCCACCCATCAGCCAGAGACGCACCATGTGAAAGCTTACGGAGAAAAAAGACAATGGACCACAAGATGGCGCCGTGGAAGACGGTCATGATGTAGTTGACAATCATGTCCCACTGTATGAGCCCAGATTAGCAGTCAGCCACCACCCCCTCGACAACACGACAGACAGCCCCCCCGCGACTCACATTATTGAATATCCGCCTGCTGACAATGAGCTGCTTGGCCCACTTGAACTCGTACACCCCAAACGCGGCCACGCCGGCGGCGCCCACGACGACAGGCACCAGGGTCCGCCACGACGACCAGGGGTGCATGATGCCGCCCGTCGTGATGCCGAACAGGAACGCCGTGGAGCTGGCCGTGAAGGCGACCGAGCCGGCCCAGTCGAAGGCGGCCAGCTTGGCGCGCAGCCCGCCCGGGATGGGCGCCTGGTTGAGGAAGAGGACGACGAAGACGCCGGCGAAAAAGATGATGGGCAGGTTGATCCAGAAGATCCAGCGCCAGCTCACGTTCTGCGCGAAGCCGGCGCCGATCAGCGGGCCCGACACGGTCCCGACGCTCCACACGGCGCTCAGCACCGAGAACCAGGTGCCCCGCGCGTGCAGCGGCACCAGGTCCGTGATGACCACCTCGGTCAGCGCGATGAGGCCGCCGCCGCCGACTCCCTTTTTTTTTTGCCGGTGTCAGAACTGGTGCTTTCTGTCTTTGTCCCAGGCCTGACCATGGAGAGCTCACCTGAATTGTGCGCCCTGCGATGAGGACGGTAAAGTTGTTGGCCAGGGCCGAGACCAAGGAGCCGGCCAGGAACAGAACCAAGGTCCCGTATATGAGCTCTCAGTCGAAAAGGCGAATCATCAAGTCAGCAACCCACTCATACACCTCGATGCTTCTGAGCTGCCCAATTCGGTGCCAAAAAAAACCCCTCTTATCAAACTCGGCCCGGCTCCCCCTCGGTCCAAATCACACATCCGAATCGCTCACATTCTTGCGCCCGAATATGTTGCTCAGCCCGGCCACGGTGGGCTGCAGCACCGTACTGGCGAGCAGGAACGAGGTGCCGGACCAGAAGGCCTCGAGCGCCGACCCGCCTAGCGCGACGCTGATGGTGGGCAGCGCCACCGACAGGCTCGTGGCGTCGAAGGCAGCCCGAGCGAGATGATGGCCAGCGCCGTGAAGGCCAGCAGGAACTCTCTCGTCGGCCGGAACGCGGGCTTGTTGGTGGTCGTCCCGCCGCCCGGCGATAGGCCCCCCTCCGGGTCCTTGGCGTGGTGGTGGAGGCCGCCACCGCCGCCCTCGCTGTCGTCAAAGGGCGCACCCGCGGGTAGCGTCTCCTTGTGCGGCGTCAGCGTGCCGCTGTCCGAGTCGAGCCCGACGTCGTCCCGCGGCCGGCCCGGCGAGAACATGGCGTCGGCAGCGGCCGCCGCTGGGCTACTGCTGCTGTTGCTGCTCATCTCGGCTCGTCCGTGCTGCTGCTGCTGCTGCTGCTTGCCGCGTTGCGGGAGAGGGAAGAGCGGGGACAGTGGAGAGATGGGAGGGAGGGAGAGGTAGTCGACAGCACCTCTTGCGCCACTGCTGGCCATGACGGGGTCGAGCGGGAGGGGAAAAGGGATCCCGAGACTCCGGGAGCAGGGTGTGCGTCTGCTTCATATACCAGAGTCGGCGGGTTGGGTATCCGGCTGGCCAGGTCGGCTGTGTCTCGGACTCGGCTGCGTCTTTGGCTGAATAGAGGGAATGGGAAAGAGAGAAGAAGAGAGAGAGAGAGAGAGAGAGAGAGAGAGAGAGAGAGAGAGAGAGAGAGAGAGAGAGAGAGAGAGAGAGAGAGAGAGAGAGAGAGAGA